TGGATGATATTGCGAAAGCAAAAGCAATTGCATGGAAAGTCATTCAAGAGGTGAGGTTATAACCACAAAAGAGTGTTATCTAAATATTCTATGGTCTGTAAACTTTGTACTTGAGACCCTTCTCTTGCAAATTAGAGGATTGCAATTTGTAGGAATTATTTTCGTAACAGATGTGAATGTCTTGAGTTACATTGAGAGTTTCATTCTTCCACATTCCTTTGGAAAATCCGTAATTTTTCTTAAAGAAAGCTTAAAATCCATTATATTTATACATGATGTTTCTGCAGAAAATAACATCATATGGCACAAATAGTTCTCATAACTATTTATAGATGGTTCCCAAAAGGGGTTTCTCCCGTTAAAAGTAGATGCTTTAGCTTGTGGCATCTGCCTCACAAAAATTATGCATACTAGTAATCTTCTTTCTGTTTTTCTTTGCATCCAGGTTAACAAAAAGTACAGATGTTTAGAAATTGATCTTGATGGTTTGTACAAGAGAATGCTGCTTCTCAAGAAGAAGAAATATGCAGCTGTAAAGGTGCAATTCAAGAATGAGACGCCATATGAGGTATAAAAAAAATTTCATACTCCAGGTTTTAGTTCACCCTTTCTTGGAAGACAATAAAAATGATATTTTTCATTGCAGGTTATTGAACGTAAGGGCCTCGATATGGTTCGTCGAGACTGGAGCTTACTTTCAAAGGAACAGGGAGATTTCTGCCTAAGTCAGATTTTGTCAGGAGGGTATGCTTTAGCTTTTTTTTTTTTCCCCGACTTTGCCAGTCTGGTTTTGTGCAAAGATTACTAATCTGTCGTATTTGTGGCTCATATGCTCACAGGTCATGTGAGGATGTTGTTGAATCAATTCATAACTCTCTGATGAAGGTGAATTCATTGTTCTTTTCATATTGTTTTTCTTTTGTGTTTTGGGGACATGGTTTTTTCTTAATCACCAGAAATTTAAGCTCAGAGGTAAGCGGGGAAGGTTAGAAGGTAAAATGCTGAAATGAGACAGGCTTGGCTGAGAAAGCTTGAGGAAATGTTAAATCATGAATGAATGATAAGAGAAGATAAGATAGTTCAGTCAGTGGGTATCTTGTCCTCTGAATTGGACTGCATTTTTCTATATAACGAAAGTATGTTTCTTTTGAGAATAAAAAATCAGAAGATAAGATGGGGGCTTTTTTCTTTTCTTTTCCTATTTTTTCCTTTTGATGAATAAATTTCCTAGAAACTGAAGTTGTTTCTGTTTGCCATGTTGAAATCATTGTGGGTTTCCCTGAGCCATTTTAAATCTGTTGAGGGTTTTTGTCCTTGTAAATTCATTTCCTATTATGTGGCTGTATGATCAAAAGGATTGAATTGAGTTGCATTTTCATGATTTTGAAGCATGTTGTTAAAAATGTATCAATTAATGTTGCATATTGAACAGGTGCAAGAGGACATGAGAAAAGGACAAGTCGCCCTTGAGAAATATATCATCACCAAGACATTAACTAAACCACCTGAAGCATACCCAGATGCCAAAAACCAACCACATGTTCAAGTGAGTTCAAGAAGGATATTTAAAGTCCAGTATTGATTGATCTGGTCCCATCTATTTGATGTGTTTTTTTCATTCATCTATTCTAATTGATACTTCTGCAAACAATCCTAGGTGGCCCAAAGATTGAAGCAAAGTGGTTATTCTACGGGTTGCTCTGTTGGCGATACAGTCCCCTATATCATTTGCTGTGAGCAGGTTTGGATGCAGTAGAAATGTGTTCTGTATTGAATGGATATTAATTGAGCATTGAGCCCTTTTTTCAACATTCAAATGGTGATGTTCATCATGTGTAGCTTCTCACTCTCCACTCCCATTTGTTGGACAGGGGACCGGTTCAGTTAATTCAACTGGTATTGCTCAACGTGCTAGACATCCTGATGAACTAAAACGAGAAGATGGGAAATGGATGATTGACATTGATTACTACTTGGCCCAGCAGGTTCGTTCTCTGGTTTATTTTCTCTAAACCAAATTGTCATGGACTATGATCTTTTATGTAGTATGTTCCTCTGTCTTGATGTCTAAGTGCTTCATCCTGTGGCAGATTCATCCTGTGGTATCACGTCTTTGTGCTTCAATTCAGGGTACCAGCCCTGAACGCTTAGCTGATTGTTTAGGGCTTGACTCTTCTAAGGTAAAATTATCCCTCCCAGACAACTCTGAAAGTGATTGAAAGGGTTTTTCACTCTAATGTATTTTTAAAATTGGAAATTTTAGTTCAAAGTTAATTCAAGTGAAGCTGTCAGAGACGACCCTTCCAGCTTGTCCCTTGCTGTTGACGATGAAGAGAGGTAACCTTATCTGACTGCCATTAAAATTTAGTTGACGGTTATAATTATTTTAGAGACTGAAGCGATACTTCGAAAATTTAAAGGAGCGTGCATTACTTTTCCCCAATGCAGGTTATTCAGTTTTTTTTCGTTCAACTTTTTCATTGTAGTATGCTTTTAATTCTGAAATTCCCAGTTTCTTTATATCTTGTGGATAACTGTTTCCCAAATCTTTGATACTATTTCCACTAGTTCCTAAACCAATTTTTTTTTCTTTTCTCAAATTAGAATGAAAGGGTGAAGATTTCTATGAGAAAATAACACATGTATCCATGTGATGAACTGCAGATATCAGGGTTGTGAGCCTTTGATCTTGGCATGTCCTAGCTGCTCTGGTACTTTTGATTGTCCAAATATCTTGAATTCCATTTCGAAGTCAATCACTGGAAAGTCAACAAGGCCACAAGCTGAGGAATCTACCATCGATTTTTGGCATAAACTGCGGTGTCCAAAATGTCCAGGGGAAGGTGATGTGGGCAGACTGTCTCCTGCAATGATAGCCAACCAGGTATATAGACTGACTCGTGTGATTTTGCACTTACCACTAATTATTCGTTGAGGCAACTACTGAGGATGCACGCGGATTCTGAAAAAATATATTGGTTTTGAATACCCTATTTACATTGAGCATCTACTGAGGATGCACTCGGATTCTGTATTTATCTTTCAGGTGAAAAGGCAAGCAGACAGTTTTGTTTCAATGTACTATAAGGGTACAATGACGGTAATTTGACCTCTTGCTGATTATTCTGGGGTTCATTGGAGTAGTGAGTTATGTGGTTATTGAGAATTAATCTGAATCTTCTGATTTTACTTTCAGTGTGATGATGACACTTGCAAGCACAACACACGAAGTCTCAATCTTCGGCTTGTTGGTGATTCTGAGAGAGGAACAGTTTGTCCAGACTATCCGCGCTGCAATGGACGTCTTGTAAGAGAGGTTTGCATAAAAAACTTGTTGAAAAGAAAAATAAAATTGCTTTCTTTTAGTCTATTTTTTTGCTAATAATTTTGGCTGTTAATGTACATTTATTAGTACACGGAAGCAGATCTGTACAAGCAGCTCTCATTTTTCTGCCATGTCTTGGATACGGTACGCTGCATTGAAAAGGTGAAAAACATTTCTTCACCAAGACATTAGCTCTTGGTATGAGCTTGTTTTTTTAATTCATATAATTATAATCTTTTGCTACAATTGGATTGGCAGATGGAGGCTAGCACTAGATTGCCACTAGAAATGGAGTTGGCCAAAATTCGGCCGATTGTGGATTTGGCTGCCTCAACAGTTCAAAGGATTCGGGACCGTTGTGCCTACGGATGGATACAGCTGCAAGATTTTTGTGTTACAGTTTAGATTGTTAGGTTTTGCAGATCTCTGCTGGTTAAGGTCACTTCATTTTCTTCTTTAGCCATTCATGTATATATTAGAAACAGATTTATTTATCAGGTGAGCCATTTGCTCAGCTAAAAAGTCGGGATGAAATCCTGTTTTGCTTGGTAGGTTCTCGCTCAGCAATGTTTATATGCAATCAGAGCCTGTAATCTCACACAGCACTATTGTATAAAGCTACGCATTACAAGTTTACAACTTTCTTAACAAATAAAGCTCTCTCTCTCCCCAAAACCCTAGAGTAACCCCCAGAGCAGTCTCCTATTCGTTGAGTGGTTTGTTTCAATTCCTAATCCTGCTTGGACTGAATTCTTTATAGTTTTTGAAGTGTTGCCAATCATCACACCCAACTTCAAAAAGAAATCAATTCTGAACACTTGTCCTCATTCTTTTTTGGACTGAAGTTAGGAAGGAGGTTTTTACACACTTGTAGCGTACCCACTTACATAGTAAGCTTGCTTTTTCTCTACAGCCGTTGAGATTAGATCGGATGGCTGAAATTGATCCTCACATAGTGTCCTCATTTAGGAGTCCTCGTTAGAGCCCAGCCGTAAACTATCTTTAACCAGTCTTTAAATATGTAACATAATTTCTCAACCCAGGCCTGCTCGTGAACTTAATTAAGCCTAAACATTTCATTCAAGTCTGCTCCCATTGGACCAGTACAATCTAGTCAAAGCCCGCTCAAGCATAGGCAAGATGAATTGGGCGGGGCAGGCCACCAGGTCCTTACTAAAATTCAGCTTTCTTGCTGGTCCGATTAGGGACCCGAACTAAGTTAATGATTCTGGAAATTCGAGTAGGCCTTCATATCAGAAGAATAAAATTGAAAAAGAAAAAGAAATAAAAAAAACAACCACGAAATAAATGGAAAGTTTCGGGTTTTATTTATTTATATTTATTTAATTATTGAATCTCATTCAAATTGGCTGATGAATTGCAGTGTCAGCCAAATAACATGAGGCGAAGCAACAATCATTCTATTAACAAGGAAAAAATTAAATTAGCGTTCCACAAGTCAGCTAAATTATGTATTTGGACATGTGTATATGCTTTGACTACTTAAAAAGGAACTACTTCAAACATCGCTTGCGCTAAGAAAACAAAAAGAATGTATTCTGCTTCATGTAACCCCTTGCTGCTACATACTCACTGCAACTCCCCAACAGGTGCTTCATTGAGCCACAGGAAGTGAATGAACTCGTACAATTTAGACTACTTAAAAAGGAACTACTTCAAACATCGCTTGCGCTAAGAAAACAAAAAGAATGTATTCTGCTTCATGTAACCCCTTGCTGCTACATACTCACTGCAACTCCCCAACAGGTGCTTCATTGAGCCACAGGAAGTGAATGAACTCGTACAATTTCGCACTCACACTAACCTGCTTAGCGTTGAACAAAATGTCGTTAAAATTTCAATCACTGAGAGATGAGAATAGTTTCAGTAGAGATGTATCAGTTGATTCAGTTAAGTACCTTGTACGGTGTTGGGTTTAGTCTCCTCATGTGGTCGGGACGCATTTTCCTTAGTTGTGTTATGCAGCGGTCCCTGATGTCCTTTAATGGTGGCAGATCTTCTCTTATTCCACCTTCAATAAACAAGAATCTGAGTTTAGACATTATGTATACACAAGAATTGAATTGTTTTGGCATTTGTTTGATGCTCATGTCATAACCACAATAATACAAAAAGAAAATGGGAGGGGAGTGCTCAACGCTACATGTTCAGCTATTGTTCTATTTCCAAAGATGATCACAAATCCTGTAAGTGTACCTGGGCTTCCAGACCAAAAACATTTCATAAGTTCTTCAACACGCTGTGGCACCACATATGCTCTCTTTGATTCATTAAAAGGGTGACGACACAGGATTCTTTCTCCAACCTGTATGTCAAAATATAAATAAAATGAGACTTTCTGCTTCATCATTCCAGTGCTCATCACATTGAGTGAAAAAGACAACATTGAGTTAGTAAATAATCTTGAGACAAATGTGGTGTAATTCATGCAGAGGCAAGTTCACAAGATACCTTTGGAGGTGGTTCATTTTCCCCTGTCATTATGTCTACCAGAGGATAACCTTCTTTTCCATACAATCTGTAACTCCGCTTTTTACAAGGAATGGATACCTAAAATAGGAAAAAAAATTATAATCTAAAAGAGAATGGTAGTGGAATAGAAACCTCTGCTTGATCCTGAATGTTTTGACTGGAAATTTGTTGACAGTATGACCATACCTTTGTAACATCTTCAGAAAGTTTAATGCGAGGCTGATTATTTATCTCAACAAGCTTGAAAACACACCCTAAAGCGGCTTGAGCATAGCAAGTAACTACATAGGTTCCAATTCCGAATGAGTCAACCTCATGACCCTACACAAAAAATAGACAAATCTAATTAAGGCATTTGAGTCCAAAAAAATGTATTTCATCCTGCAGCAATAAATCTCTAAAGACAAACAACTTGAAGGTTATATATCAAGACTAAACAAAACCAGCATTCAAATGCTTATGTACAGTTCTGAAGCCATAGCGAATATACTTTATAAAAGCCCCATAAGTTCAGAATCATTACCTGTTTGTTTAAAGCATCCAAAGTTTCCTCGTTGAGATCATTACTAGCTGTAATATTCGTCTTTCCAAACCCAGGTACTCCAAATTCTTTCTCAATGGTATGGAAAATCTTCCGAGCCTCACAAGACAAATATGCTAGGTCACCTGAATCCAACCTAATGCCGGTTGCTTTGTACCTGGACATAGCATCATCTAACTCATTAATGAAAGCTACAAATGTAACTAGTGATTGCGTAAAAATATCAAATCAATTGCGTCAAGAGTCTTCAAGCGCACAGATTAGCATGATGTCACAACAGTAATTAAAAAATTTGGAAATACAAGGTTAATGTAATAGTGCCTAGAGTAGAGGCAACTTTCTGGAAGAACTGTGGTTACTCTATCACTTCTAAAAGGGCAAATTTACCCAATGATGCAACCAAAACGACCCCAAGAAATAAGCTGCATGATTAAGAGATAGCGGAACAGATTTAACATGCCTAAGATCTCAATGTTTAAGCAATTAATATTGGCTTTAACCCCTTAAAAAGAAATAAACTACCACATGGGCTGCTAGGTAGGCGTTACATTGCAACTTCTAGTGATCTGTATTTACAACCAAAGCACAATACTAAAATCATCAAGTAGATATCATTACTCTATGGAATGGTTATAAAAATGGCGTCACAATATTAAAATTTGGAAGAAAACATTCAGCATTCATATTCACATTAAGAGAGCATAATTCGTCACTGTTGATAATCGACATACCCTAAATCATTGAGTGCTAAAGCAACGGCACAATAGTTAGGGATTCCACTCCTCATAACCTGGTAAGGAATGAAAGGCATAGTGTTAAAGATTCACTTTTACTGGGACAATAAAAGTATAAGTGGTCCACAACCATATCATTAAACAGTGTTCAACAACCACACCATTAAACATTATGAAGTAAGTTGCATAATGTTTACTTACATCATATGTGTCTACAAGAGCTAGAAAGTTATCAGGGAATGCCAATGCATATGATGTGAAAGCTGCTAGCTCACTTTGATTAGTCTCACCAAAAGTGCCATTTAATGAATTCGACCACTGCAAAGCACAGACGAGTAAGTGTTGTCAAGATTTGATTGAACTCATCTTAGATCCTAGTAAATATGTAAAACAACTAACAAGAGGATTGCAGATATGAACTTCACGTATTAAAACCTATACATGCATGCAAATGAAAAATTTTGCGAAATAAATTCCAGACGCATACAAACATACATATTTGATAAAACTGAAAGGGTTTAGTAGTCCAACTAAAATTGAATGTCTATGAACATATACGCAATTAAAATGGCACAAATTTATATAACTTTATCAGTAAAAGAAATTAGAACCCAAGAAGAAATGAGAGAACACGCAATTGAGAAACATTAAAAAAGCATATAGATTTTATCTAAAGAGAAAAATCAAACACCTGAATCTTGCTTAACCAAGTTTGAGCCAGGCTAACAAAATCCTCACAAGTGCTCTGGCTATCACTGCTACGAAGTGATTTATCTATAATCTCGTCAGGGCTCTGCAAATCATTGTATAAATGAGACAGAGAAAAGCTTCACATACAAAGGCACAAAAATCATGACGAAGAAAATATAATGCTCATAACATCTAATATTTCACTGTCATAGAACAAGGACTTGACAATAAACTCATCTACTAAGGCTTCATAAGATATCACATTATTAATTTCCCTGATCAGATGGAATTCAATTACATTAAGGCCATGAAATCTATCTCAGATTTCAATGAATAAAAGATATAATTTTTAATGCTCATGTTTCAAATGAAAACATCATGCTGAAAAAAGGAAGAGAAATGTATCTGAAAAGATGAAAAACCTTATAGTGTAAGGATACTGGTATTTTAATTGGTAAAATAGACTTACTAGTTACTCCCCTAGCTCTGATTATATAACTGTAGATATGCACAAAATTGATAATCCTATTTTAAAGCCTATTAGGGGTTATGCAGAATAGATTCCAAGTCGGTGGTAGTGGGTGGATTAACCCCCAGGGCACCCCCACACTGACAATATAAAGAATAGATCACAAGTCTATGCATTTGAAGTTGCTCTTCATAACTCCCCAATAAGGTTGCACGAGTTGCGTACCATAAATGAGCTGACAAAAGCATGAGAATGTGTCCCACGAAGTGGTATCCCAAATAACTTCCCAGCTGCAACATTACTGTCAAAACATAATATAGAAATAAAGATAAGTTGTTCCAGATGTTTACTCAGAACAACAAAAGGGCTGCTGACGTATGTGACAAGTGTTAAAAAATGAAGGGTCTCAACTCAAGGGAGATTATACATATTTTTCCTATTTCATCTACCATCGGTCATGAACAAGTTTCAAGTCAATTAAAATTTTTCCAGTCGTCCAATTGTGTGAATATGATTATATATTGTATACAGGAAAGTAAAATTCTTATGAAAAAGTACAAAATTATCCAAAAGAATTGTGAACAAATGAAAATCACAATGCAAATATGCTGAGCTTTCAATAGACATTACCTTGTTGCATGAAATCCTCCCATGTAGCAGTACTTTGATGCCCCTATTCCCCCATCAGGTCCCTATATATCAAAATAAAGACATATTTGTTAAGAAGACAATCCCAGTCTAGAAATTCAGAACAAAGAATTCAAAATGTGAAAAAGTTGAGCTTGTCACAGCCCAAGCTTGTGTCGGATACCTGAGCCCGTCGAAGACCAAACTCAAGTAGCATTTTAGATTCTCCAGCAACAAAACGATGCCTTGCAGCATTAGTAGCAACTAATGATGCATAATTAATAAGATTCAAGAATGGAGTTTCCAGCAACTGAACCACCTGAAACAATAAAGCAAATATAAATTAGAAAACACGCTAAAAACAAGTAGATTGACTACAATAACCAAGCAAAAAAATTTATAAAGAACAAAAAAACTAGTATAATGGTTCTCACAGCAATTGGCCCTTCAACTCTTAGCAAGGGAACCTTTGGAAAAACAACTGAACCCTCTGTAATGGCATAGACTTCAACTCCTGAACAGTCAACTCCTTTAAGATAATCATAGAATCCATCCTACAGTTCATCAATACAACTCAATTATTAAACTATTAAACTATTCGACACACATGCAAAATTACAATTTTAAGCTAGAACATGCACTAAAATTATAATGCAAATTACAATGAAAGTTTAAGAATTGGTTTACCTCACATGAAGGAGATAAAGACTCACGAACGAAATCGATTTCGTCTTCACTCAATTTGAAATTAGCAATGAATCTGATGCATTCTTCTAAACCAGCAAAGATGGTGTATTCACCACCGAAGGGGTTCTTACGGAAATATAAATCGAACCTGAAACAAATTGATATGTCACATACTTGAATTACTATTATCATTCTAAAGAATGCAAAGCTCTTATATATATATATATATATATATATATATATATATATATATATATATATATATATATATATATATATATATATATATATATATATATATATATATATATATATATATATATATATATATATATATATATATATATATATATATATATATATATATATATATATATATATATATATATATATATATATATATATATATATATATATATATATATATATATATATATATATATATATATATATATATATATATATATATATATATATATATATATATATATATATATATATATATATATATATATATATATATATATATATATATATATATATATATATATATAGGAGAGTGTGTGTGATTGTAAATTCAATTGAAATTAAGCCAACGTGTGCCTTACGATGACTGAAATGAGAGAGACCGTTAAAACCAAAGAAGAAGAACAGGAAGAGGGATTGGTTTCATTTCATCGAAACGCAGGTGGAGAGAGAGAGAGGGCATCTAATTCTAAATTCCAATGTTAATGCATTGGAGAGCTACTGTACCTTGACGTGTCGTTATTGTCTTATGCAGTCCCCCTTCTTATTCGAACCATATGTATTTGTTCATATATATGTCCTCTAAAATATCCTCCTCCTTTTTTATTCATTAATACTGAAAAATTGAGCACTAGGGGCAGTAAAATATTGGCCCCAATAAAGACGAGTAGGGGCAGATATGTTGGATATTCGCCTCTAAAATAAAGGAGGTGTGGGATATTATCGCTCCTCTTAATAGGAAAGTCTCTAAAGAGGAAAAAAAAGACTAGTGGTGACGGAGTATTTATCTCCTACATTCATGACAAATTTCTGTATATAATCCTCCTTCCTTTCCTTTTCTCTAGAATCTTGATAAGAAACATAAATACATTTGTTGGTTTCATTGAATCTGCTCCGAAATCACAAAGTCAAGATTTTAAATTCAGAAGCTCCTTGTCTTTAGAAAGAAAAACAATGAATATGGTAAAAGGCAAAGTAAAAAACCATTTGATTTTGAGTATGGTTCCTGTAATTTCTCCTCGTTTTTTCTTTCTTTCTTTGATTATCATGTACATACATGATACATGGGCAACTTGCATAAATTATTCTCGTATGACTGTTTTGGTTCTGTGTTTCAAACTTCCAATTTTTGACTTCCTTGACCCTTCAGTCAGTCGCATGTAGGAAATTCCCTTTTCTTGTTCAACCACGACCTTAAATAACATCCCATTTGACTGATAAAACTTTCCAAGAAAAGAAAACTTGAAGTACGGAAAAAGTTATTCCAATCCAAGCTCAACCTTGAAAATTTCAGTCATCAATACATAGGTCCCTTGTTCTTAGGAAATTTCACAATAATAAAATATTACACAATCTTGAGGTAGCTTTGACAAGGCTTGATGTCATAATTTATAAACAAGACTTTCATATAATTCATATGAGGAGATAATTTCCAAATAAAAAAGATTCACAAAATAAAGGGAAAGATAGAGTTTACATACATGTCTCATCCCTACCTTGTACTACTTCTACCAATTAAGTAACAAGCCTTGCCAAAGCATTGAAGAGAAAACTCATCAATTGCAGGTTAGCTTTGTGGCATGCCTGTGATTCGAGCACGCAATTGAGGCTCTAATCAATTTGGAGAATTACAAAAGCTGTTACAAGTTGTGGCTACACCAAATCCAAAATGTTAAGAGTAGCCAAGCTTAACATGCATCATATGTGCCTTCTTTCAGTCTTGATGTTATCATTTGCAACCCTTCTTCTTCCTGTGCGCATGCTAGTAAAATGTAAAAGTACGGCGCCCGCTTAACCATGTGAAGAAAGGATAAACATCTTATTCATCAGATATGCTTACCTATCTATATGAAAATTTTGTTTCATAGCCTTTAAAAGTAGACCTTCCTGCCGGTTTCTTCCTTTGATACATGCTCCCAGAGAACTACTGCCTTTCGGATCAGATACTTGTGTGTTAGAGGAAAGTGAAACTCTAGCTGTTGCTCCCAATTCAAATTCTTTCAACAAAAACAAACATACATGTTAGACCAAAACTAGAACCCTAAATACATGTTGTTAGAGTTATTGGGATGGGGAACTGTCGGATCAGAGACCCACCTAAAGGATTCGTCTCCGAATGATTTACATTAATTTGTTGATGCTGCAACATGTCCTCCCTACAGATTTCCTTTATATGGGAGTAACGTAAAAAGTTTAGTATCATTTCCTTAACTCTGTATGCATTCTTAACAGGGCCATAATTTTACCTTGGATGAGTTTGGCAGTTGAAAGGGTCCCAAGTGAGCCTGCATTGACGATTCCAACTCAAATGAGGTTTCTGAATTGACTACATTTGACATGTCTGGTACATATGACTGGTTTGCATCGGTGCATTGGTTGGAGAAATGGAACAAATTTTGTGTTGGAGATTCCTGGTTCATAAGCAGTGTGCCTGTCATGTCCAAATGCAGAGGCCTATTTTCTTCACCAAGGTCCATTCTCATCTGGGAGAGTTGGACAGGTTGCAGCACTCCAGGTAGGCACATAGGATGCAGACTCATGCCATTTCTCATTGATAACATCTGAAATGTGAATAACATCTAAATCAATCAAAACCGAACTCTCAATTTTAATTGATGCTACAATAACTATTTCAGCTGGCATTTCTCTATTTGTTCTATGCAGAAATTCCCATACTGTTCATAGGCAAGGGTGAAAAGGAGTTTTTTAAGAAAAAGAGAGATTCTTCAAGCTGATGTAAACAGTCAATGGTGCAGAGCAATAAAAACATCACGTATTAATCACAAAGGATTAATACGTCTTAAATTTCATCCGAGCACAGAATGTCATGTGAGACTGCATCAAGAAACTTTTTGAAAGGCGGAGCAGCAAGAAACTTTGCCACAATGTGACTCTCTTTGCTTCTAATATTGGATCCTAGTGCATTCACATGGTCCAACCATGCAAATCACATTGGAGTTGTTTTCCTATTTCTCTTTCTCGATTCGATTTTATGATACAACCAGCAACAAAGGTCTTGGAGGAGATCTTGGGATATGACCACACAGTGTGAAATTTAATCAAAATTTTACCATGAAGAGTATTTTGAAGTTCACTGTACACTAAAATGCAAAGAAGAAAGCTGCATACCTGCACTTGGAGCTGAAGCTGCTTGAGGTACTCAATGGCTTCATCAAGCATTGAAGCCTTATCTGTCTGCCACATTACAAGAAAGACGAATCGTTCTCTCAAAAATCAAAATGACTCAAACAAACAAAATCAAAATCAAGCATCTTGGTATGTTTAATGTACCTTATTAGAATTTGGGATAAGATTTTGCAATGCCTTCATTTTCTCATTAATCCTACTCCTCCTCCTCTGCCCAACAAACCCAACACATCAAAACCCGAAAACAACGTGGTTCTCCGTATAAAAAAAAAGAAGAGAACCCAGGTTGAAAATTTCAAATCCCATAATAACTTTGGAAGGAGGTTCTCAAACTACAAAAGCCAACCTTTTCAGACATATTATGAACTTCTGCAGCTCTGCTTCTCTTTGAAGAACTTCGACCACACCCTGGCTTCCCTGCCGCCTCTTCCACCAATGCTTCAAGACCCTCCTAAATTTATAATTCCTCAACATATTAAACTTTAAAAAAATAAATCATATTACCAGAAAAAAGAAAAAGAAAAACTTGATCTTATATTCTGTGTTTCTAATTACATCTTATTATTTCAGTCAAAATACAGTCTTTCATTTGATAAAAAAAACTTAAACTAAACAAAGCAAATGCATTCTGCTCCATAAACTTTGAAAAAGGTTTAATGATACTCTAATTTTCTTCTACTTTCCCTACAATTTCTCAGCAAGCAAACAGACCATAAAAAGAAAAATTCAAACTTTCAAGTCTTAAGTTACCTCGCTTTCACAATCATACTCGTCCGTCTCATTCTCACTCGCTCCGAACGAAGAGGAAGACACATTGGGATTCCCCGCCTGCAAAAGGGCGGCGGAAGAATCAACGGCCGTGATCCCGTCCCCTAAGAACATAGAGTGGCACGGACGGCTGAGATGATCAGGCAGAGCAGCAATGGACGGAGACGATGAAAACAAAAACTGCGGGGCCTTGCCCGTGTGGGCCACCACCGAGGCCAGAGAACTAGACGAACGGAGCAAAATCTGCTGCAGAAAAAGGGAGATTTCGTCGGACGTCGAAGGAGGCTGAGCAGGAGCAGCAGGAGCAGCAGCAGCTGGAGAAACTGAAGCAGAAGGTGAAGAAGAACAAGTGGCATTTTTGTAATAATGATCATAAGTATCCCCCATCACTCTCTCTCTGGTTTCTTTTTCTCCTCTGTTTTTGGTTCTGGTGTTGTTTTGAGGTTTTGGGTATGAGAGAGAGAGAGAGAGAGAGAGAGAGAGAGAGAGAGCGTTGGTGTGTTTGCTTTGGCTTTTAATTTGGAGTTTGACGATTTGTTGCGTCTGGGAGTGTGACAGAGTGGGCTGGTTTGCATTTGTCTGCAGATTAAATTAAACTGAAATTAACTAACGTTAATTAAATTAAAATCAAAGCGGATGATGATAATATATAGAAGAAGAGTAGCAGTCGCACTCAGCATTGCACGTGAGGCACACTAGAGCTATAGCTGCTGCTGCTGACTATGGAAATTAAACATGTTGCAGAGTCTTCTGACTCTTCCTTCCCTAATAATCCGTACCATCTAATTCTGTCATTTTACTTTACCCATTTTGTTTGTCTAATTTTAATTGGGTTTTACTTTGTTTTGGTTGGTGTTAACCAAATTGACCATGCACCCAAGTAGCTCTAAGTTTAATGGTACTTGTTCTTTTTCTAATGTTTAAAAAAAAAAAATCAAATTTAATTGAATCCCCCAATTGATCTTTATGTTCTGGTTTCTTTTAGAAAATGAATTTTTGCAGAATTGTCACTTGAATTTAGAAAAATTTAGGAGAAATGTCATCTTAATTTTTTAAAATCTATGATTTGTCATCTGACTTTAACATCATTTATTTTTCACTCACCCTCTCTCTCCCCACCGACCCCAACGCAAACCAACCCCCC